TATAAAAGATTTAATGATTTTTTTTCTTCATTTGTATTTCTTGTTGTGATTTCATTAGATTTCAAATATATATTTTTGTCATTTAATATATATGTTGATATATTCACTAAACAAATGTTCACTTTTTTATATTAATTAATAAATGATAATTTTCTTTTAATTATTAGACACTGTTTTTGTATTTTCTATCCACTTGTTTGCCGATTGTTACGCACATTAGTTTATAACAGTATAGTTTTGTATTGAGTACATTTTTATACATATGGTATTTTGAATTAAGTCTTAATTAGTATATTTATTATTTAATTCATCACTTTATCAATAGAGGAATAGTTAAAAATAATTTTATATTGGTGTTAGTTTTTGAAACAAAATCAAATGTTATAGACTTTATTTTAATTTTGTTTTACAAGCATTTTGATTTGCTTTTAATTAGACGAGTGAAAGGTGTACAATGTGCTCAATCTTGGTGTCTATACCATCCGGGTTCACATAATTCACTTGACACTTATACTGACCGCCAGTGTTAGCGTTTGCCCTATCGTTTGGATTAATGGTTAGCCATAATCGTTGGTTAGTCTTGGAATCAACTTTGACGGCATCGATACCAGTTTGTGGCGTAAAGAATGCTAATTGTGGTAATAGATGATGTATATGGTAAAAATTATGCGTGTAAAACTTGTCGTGATGTAAATATAAACATTACATTTGTCTTTATTGATATATCTGTAGAAAATACGGTCGTCTTTAATGGCACGCGAGTCGAAGAATGTGTCGTTGGGTTGCAATTGATAATCGCATTGGATTTGTACGTCATCACCGACACTGTACTGATTACTCAATACATAGTTCACAAAAATCGAGGTCTTTATAGATCCTATAAGCGTAAGTAAGTTATAATAAAATAAGTTACAATTAAATGATTATGATTTTTATAATTTAAAACTCACTTTGGTCAGGCACCTGTCGGGACGATTGCCAACAGTAGTCGGCTCCATCATAATAAGTGACGTAACAATCAAAGTCATCAGATGGTGGTGTGTCTGATAAGACATTGCGAATGTGTCCGTATTTAACGGTCGAGTTATATAGTGGTGGCACCCGATCAATGACCCTGGTGCTGTCTATCACGTCACTGTTGTAACGCTCCTCTGTATTCAGTTAGTTAGTTATTTAGTTTGTATAAATTAATATTAATTATGAATATAAAGGTTGTATACCTAGAGTACTGGCGTCTACAGCATAATAGTAGTGGTCTTTATATCGCATATAAACTTTTTGCCATCTCTGGTTTGACTCGAATTGAAAATCACAGTTTAGTACCAAATCATTGTCTCTCTTGTATGGCTCGAGTGTTAAGGATTTGACGGGAGCACAGGCTTTGGATCGACACAAACATCCTGGTAATACACCAAACGTACAAATTATTAATACTATATAACCAATCATTTTTAGTGAATTATTTCTAACTCAATTAATAATAGTTTTTATTAAGAGTGAAATTAATTTACTATCTTATATAGTATTGTTCTACTAAAAATGTTACATTCAAATTACACAGTGTGTTTGAAATATGCTTAATTCCATGTGTAATCTAGATGTTTGTTTGTTGGTGCATTATAAGATATTTTTCATTGCGTTTCCTGGTAGACATTGATGAGAATTTGAACAGGTTGCTGAATTATTTTGTTGTCTTATAAAATATTTAATAATTTTTCTTCATTTGTATATCTTGTTGTGATTTCATTAGATTTCAAATATATATTTTTGTCATTTAATTAGGGATGGGATAATACATGAAAAAAATTTTGCCATGTATTATTCATGTATTATTACCGTATTACCCCGCTTATAGGTGCATGCACTTATATGTGAGTTTTCACA